TTGGTCCATTGTTTGGTTCTCTTTTGGAATAGGAGAGAGGTCAATATCCATGTTGAGTGGGGTTTCTTTTAGAGTAGAGGTAGTAGTAAGTAGTTGGAATGTATTAGTATTTGTTGTGTGGATAAGAGTTTATGCTTTATTGGTTTATTTCGTTATTTTAAAGTTTTAGTATTTTTAATTTATTCAGACGTAATTCGTGAATTAAAATTTAATTTTATGAAGTAAGTTTTTTTCATATGTACTTATATGATATAGTATGTTTGTAATATGCTGGGAAGATTGTGATTTACAAATTCGGTTAGTTCTTGAGTGTATGTACGTATCTGCGTTGATTAAATAGTTTATGTTGTAATAAATTTTTGTTCGCATAATATTGAGTGTTTTTTGTTTTAAGTTATATTTTGGTATGATATTTATCGTTTGATATTATTTACAGTGAGTTTGCTGATCGAGATAGTTGATGATATTTTCATAATTCATTGATTTTAATTATTATTGTATAATCGTGGGAAATTTTCTTGTGATTTATTTATTTAGTCTTAACGATGATTCGTATATATTTAATTATAGATGTACTTGTTGGTATTATATAATTAGTTTTGTTGTGTGATTGATGAAAATTGTGTAATTATTACGCATCTTGTTAAAGTTATCGGTAATTATTACGTTAGAATTAGAAAAAAAAAATACTGTATGTTGTAGTTTTGTTTATGAGTATTTATTCATTTTTTATTTAATTAGAGATTAAATTATAAATAAATAAATATTGGGTTGCTTTTTTTTTTTCAAAAAAAAAAAAAAAAAAAATATTATCAAAAAAATAATAACTAAAAATAAGTTTTAATTTTGATATTTATTAATATTTAATATTTACCATGCCGTGTTATGCGGATACAATTGTTAGAATTAAGTATGTTTGTAAGACTGAAAAAGTTGATGCTAGTTTGATGGTTGTTTGGGCTATTGGTCTTTATCCCATAAATCGCGAGCAAAATAAGATTGAATTAGTCTTATTTGTACCTGTTAATTTTGATGAAAGGGATTCAGAAACCCAGGCTGTTTTCGAGAAAGACAGTTTTTATTCAGTTGGCGGAAAAATTGTGCCTAATTTTTATAGAAGTAGTAAAAGACCCAAGGTACTTATTAATATTCAATCATTTCTGGTATTACTATACCTTTATTTATCTTTTGTTCAATTTTAGATGACAGTTCTATTTTAACTGGCATATCTATTTTTAACAAAGTTGCTAAGTTAAATAAGTGCCCATTAAAAGTTTCTTTAGTTGGATCTTCTCAAGAGTCACCACGGTTATTGGCAAATGATGATGCTATTTTCGATATGTTAATAAATGATTATGCTAGTCAGGAGTATAATTTTATTATTAAAGTTGTTTTTCCGTATTCGAATTCACAATTTTTATATTTAAAGACTCTGATTCATTAGCAAGCATCGCTTATTTTTGTTGTTGGGCAGTTAAAGATTATCGATAATACTTTTTATGTTTATGTAAAAGATATCAATTTTATTAATACTCAATTATCATTTAAGCAAAAAATGTTTGATAATAGTAATTCATCTAAAGCTATTAATATCATTCAATCAAAACTTCTTTCTACTCATCAAAATGTTATTGAAGATTTGAAAGGATCTTCTGAAGCTAAGGCAATATCCTTTACTTTAACAAATAAATCAGATAAAGAATCTGAGTTCAATTTATATTCTTCGAGGAGTATCTTTTCATCAAATCGCAAAAAGTCTAAATACTCTGGTAAATCTGCAGATGTTTTAGATAGCATAATTGATGATGATTTCGATCAAGATGAAACCGTTGATATGAATATACTTGATCAAGATGATAAAAGTGAAGAAATTCAAAAAAAAAAGATGTCAAAAGAGCACTGTTAACAATTATAAATAGGGTGATGAAAGTGCTGATCAATCTTTGAATAATGTAAACGATTGTAATCTTTATTAAGATGAAGTCATTGATACGAATGAAATTAATCAAAATAATGAAAGTGAAGAAATTTAAAAAAAGAAGAGAGGTCGAAAGAATACTGTTGGTAGTAATATTAAAGGAGGTAAACATGGTAGTCATTCTTTATGTAGCACTTCCAGACCAATTAATGTGAATCTTAGTGCAGATGTTAAAACCGAGTAAACTTATTAAATATATTCACTATTACATTTTATATCTATATATTTTTATTGCACGTATATGTATATATTTTATATTCTTTATTTGCTAGTTTGCTTAGCATATAGCATATTGTAGTTAACTATTTAAAGCATTTATTATTATGTTAAATTCATTTTCACATGCAGTATAAGAGTTGCATATTTTATTTTTGGTTTTAGTTTTAAGTAGTGTAAATAAATTGCTATTATTTCAGTAGCGTTTTTTGTATTGTGAATTTACAATAACTTATTTATTTATATGCTATCTTGTACTTAAATAAATTTAGCAATATTATTTGTTAGGCTTAGATTTAGTAGTTATAAGTTTAAATTGTATTAGAAGTATTTCATATTAGTACAATTACTTATGATTTTATTTTTAACACTTAAAATTTGTGCATATTTGTTTAGATAGTTTTATTTTCACTAGCAAAAAAGACATTTTTTTTATTATTTACAATTTCATACATAATTCCATAGACTTTATTGTTTAAGTTACCTAAGCAACTCTGGAAATACAATATTCTTAGTCAACAAATTCGTTGAACAGTTTTTATCAGTAAGTATTAAAATATGATTTCATTGCCGAACTCGTGTAAGAGCAGTATATAATTGTCTGTGACTAAATACTAGTGTGCATAAGTTAAGTGCAACTCGATCTAGTGTTAAACCTTGTGAAGAGTTAAAGGTTGAAGAATAAGCAAGTCGTAAGGGAAATTGATGGCAGCTAATCTTGAATAGAAATTGAGGTACACAGAATAAGAAAGTAATCCTTGGTAAATAAATTACAGAACCCGTTGCAGGGTTTTGTATAGTGACTAATCTTCGTCCTATATTCAGAATAATAACTCTGCTATTTTTACATAAGCTATCATGTATTGAGAGATTCCTCATTATAGTTGCAACACATCCCTTCTTTAGAGTCAGACAGTGCTTTGGTATTCTGGATGCATTAAATGTATTTAATAATTCAACTGATATCATATTTCTCTGAGCTTGATTTGTTCTTGTATCATTATCCACTAAGCTATCTGTACTATATAAGTCAACTACATCACCTCTTAATCTTTGTAAAATAATTTCATTAATAGATTCTACTTCTGAATTTAACAGACAAAGAATCGCACATTTTTAGCACTTATTTGGGTCATTTAACATAGTTTCAGGAAAGGCAAAATCAATTACATCATTTATTTCATGGGTCATTTTTAATAATGCTAATGATACATTTTCACCATCGATACCATTGCCTATTTTGTCCATTAGTTGAGAGTATTCTAGATCATGAACATCACGAACAGGTTGTTTAAGTTTATAAACTTCAAATGATTTCCAAATCAGAGAAGACTTAATCAACTTTAATATTATAGCCGTTCGACCAGAATATGGAATTACAGGTGTGACTTAATGAAAATCACCTATTCTAATAAATATTTTTCCACCAAATAGCAAATCATTGTTGCAAAGTTTTCAAAGAAAGATATTAACTGTTTCAATATTACCTTTTCGAGCTATTGGCAATTCATCTCAGGTTATAACTGATAATTTTTGAATTAGTTTAGCACGATCACTATCTAAATTTATTTGATATTTATACTCTTCATCATTATTTTCAATTGGAATACGGAATAAAGAGTATGCTGTACGCCCTCTATCGTAATTTAATGCTACTAAGCCAGTTGTTATACAAGGAAGTATTATTTTTTTTAAACATCTTATGGCAATATATATAACATTTATCAAAAATGTTTTTCTGCGTCCTGCACGCCCATTTATAAAAATTAATAAGGGTTTGTTGTTCAATACATGATTCATAATTTTTTGATAAACGTTTTTTTGTTCAAAGTTAAGCTCACTTATCATTTTATCACGTATTGCAATCAGTGTATTGTAATCATTATAACGTGCTTGAATGTGTGTTATTTTGTCAAGATGTTCTGATAGTTGAGGTAAACCAAATTGTGTTATTTGGCTACCATGCTCTTCTAAAAAACTTGCTATCCACATTAAAGTGTCATTCTCTCCTTGTTAGATATCACCTTTTTTATTAATATAATCTGCTGATAATAATTAATGATGGATTTGCCAAACAGATTGTGCTGCTATACCTTCTAGTATAAGATGACAAAAAAATAATCTAAGCTGTGCTGGAGTACATTTGTAAGTTACAGCTTCAGCAAAGCATTGCTCATTTTCATTTATATCCTCTAATAATTCAAAGGCACGTGCTGCATCTTGAAAGTTTGAGTATAATGTACCATTTACTATATATAGTTCTTTAAATGACCTAGCCGTATGATAACTTAAAAGTATGCAAAGATAATATTTTTTACCCACACATAGCCGTATTATGTTCATTCTTGTTATATGTATATGATTTGGCTTATACGGCTTGACAATACGTCATTGACAACCTTCTTGTTCTTTTTCTAAATAATTATTTGGAGGCAGTAATTGTTGATTAACTAAATCTTTAGCATAAGTAAATGTGTACAATTTGTAGTACTTACAATAAGTAAGTGCATCAAATTCTATATTTGTTAGGTGGAGAAAATAATGTTGTAAGGTAGAAAGATTATTATTACCTCCTTGTAATATAGTTTGTTCACCAGGTAAATGAACTAGCAAACATGTTACTAATGGTAATTGCGAAGTTATTCTGTACTTAAAAATGCGCCAAACTGCTTCCATTGCAGAAAGATAACGTGTATTAATATAATCTTTAATCTCATCAATCATTTCGTTATTTTCTCCTACAAGAACAGTGACTGATGCCCAATCTGAACCTTTGTAAATATACTTATAAAAGTATGAGACTATATGCAAAGTAGAAGCTACTTCAAAATTTATATGCAAATGTAGTTTCAACAAAAGAAAAGGATTGTATAGTACAATATTTTCATCATTTTCAGTATGTTATCGATAATGAACATGGCCATATTTATTTACTGTAGTACTTTCTCTTAAAGGTTTAAGATAATTCCAATGACAACTATTATTATGTTATACACACCTCAAAGTACATTTATGAATCATATATTGTTTTATTAAGTTACAAAGATTACTTTGTTGAAGATTATTACCCACAGGTAATTTAGCACTTATCACTTTATCAATATTCTCAGGTTCAAGCAGGTTTGAAGATGATTTAATTATTATATGAGCATGTGGTAAATCACGCTTCTGAAATTTAATAGCATGCATAAAATAAACTATTTTTTCAAAGTATGTTTTTAATAATTTATGCAAATAGGTTAAGCATTGCTTAAATACTCATACTACAATATCTGGTCAGTCAGCATAATTCTGGCTAGTATGTAGTTGTTGCTGTATTTCTGGCCAGTTGGGATTCGTAGTAAAAGTAATAAACAATATAGGTTGATCTAGTTTACTCACTACTGCAAGAGTATCCATCATTTTTTTGTAAGACTATCTATATAAAAGCGTGTGTGATGCCAGTAAATAAATATTATTTGGATATAACTCAGCTTCATCATAAATTGTTTCATCATTTTCATAATCCTTTTTCTTGAATCAATGTTGTTCTTGACGTATATACTGTAAGCATTCATCATCTGCTCGGCTAAACATATCTACTAAATATTCATTAAAAAGACGGCCAAGCAAATAAAATCAAGTTTCAGACATAATACGATAACGATAATAATCTACTTGAGAAATTTTTTGTAGTTTTGAATTTTTAGGATCTATCCAGTACATACGCCAACCTATTTCACCATGCGAAAAAAATAATGGATACTGTAATGCTTCATAATTTTCATTTAAAATACTAATATAAATAGGAATTTTTTTACCAACATGCCAAATTTGTATATGCCGTTCCTGTATTACAGCTGTTGAATGGATAATTGTGCAAGCAGCAACTTCAGCATTATTTGTTGGTTGTTGAATTATCAAATATGCCTAAGGATAATCTATATCGTATAGTTGATATAAACCTCTAACAAATGGATTAACAGTAGCCAATTCTTGCTCAATCAGTTTTACTATTTCTTGGTCAAGCTTACGTTGATTAGCAATACAATTCCGTGCTTCAGCATCATAAACAAACCAATTTGTCAGATACCCTTTAGCATTAGCAGGATAAACTTGATAATAAGTATGACCATTAATTGCAAAAGCATGTGGATGCAGTAAGCGAACTACACCACCCGTATAACCAAGAACTGTAAAAGAAAATAATGAATTGTATTGACAACTGTTATGACAAAAATTATCAGGGTCTGAATTATAAAGATTTTGTAAGTTAGTGGCAAGAGATGAAGAGGCAGAATAGTACGTCGTAATATATTATTACAGCAAAAATTTTTTGGTTCTGATGAAAGAAGCTGTGAACCGCATTCAGGACATAAACGTTTCCATATAGGATTGTAGGTATTTATATGACAGTTATTACATAAATTTGATAACGTTTCCTACCAGTTTTGGCGATTGTTATATGTAGCTGTAGGAATTTCACCATCACTCGGTGCCAGGTTACACATACGTTCATTGTTAGTAAAGTTTTTATGCTCAGAAAATTGTCGATGACATGCAGGTCTGCCCATAGGTTTTTTTTTTACAATTACGATAATATGATCATACAATGCAAGAAAGACAATGAAAAAACTTGTTTGGTTTATTTTTTGGTTTATTTTATAGTATATTCTATGGTTTGTTTTATAGTATATTCCATAGTTTGTTTTCTACTCTTATATTTATACATCTTACTTTATCGTATACTCTAATAAACTATGATGTGTATTAATCTGTTATCAAATGATGACTACATTTTTAATTATCCAGTCTTTACTGTTTATTTTTACTTACGAATATTCAATTTATAATGACAACATTTATAACTTACTTGACATAATTATTTTTTAATAATAACTGATGATTTTGAAGGCTGATTTGTCAATTTACACTAATATGTCGATTACCTTACTAATTACAGAATGTAATTATTTTTTTATATTTAGACAACTATGGGATTAGAGAATATATAACACAGATGCTTATGACATAAATATCTCAAACCGTGACAATTTCTCTCATGCATAAATACTAAGATTCCTTATCAAGCTAAAGGTCTCAAATCCTATTCGTCCAATGGTCTAAACAATTTAAGTAGCAATAACCATAAGTAACTGATCAACTTAACTCGATACTATATAGCGCTCATGTATTATATACTCATAAAAATATATTTCATCATACTACATTGCGGCGAATTTATGAAATACCCAAAATTTGAAAAATTTGACCACTAAGCTATAAATATTGATCTTGGCTAAGAAAGGAAGATTTTTTCAGGTTAAAAGTGCGTTGTTATAAAATTTATAAGTCTAATAATAATAAAGGCGGGGAAGATAGGTTAGCCTGTGGGAAATATGGGTTTGACGCATTATCAGTTTAGATCAGAGGTACTAAAAATTTTTTCAGAGTTTGGCATCAATTTATTAATATGTAAATTGGTAACTAAAAATTTTTTCAGGATTTGGCATCAATTTATTAATATATAAATTGGTAACTAAAATCTACTTTGTAGGACAAATACTCAGATTCAGTGACTAAATTTTAGCTAAACTTTATAAATTTCTCGCGATGATTATTATTATAATTATTTTTATTATTATTATTATTATCAAGTAATTCAAATACTCAAATAGGTTATTCGTGTTATTACATAAATTTTACTATTTCATCATCTGCATAACCATCAATCACGTATGTACTGTCTAATCAAATCATAAATAAACAACCAATCAAAACGCCGATTGAAAGTTTGATTTCTTTATTGTATATTTTAATTAATAATAATAATAATAATAATAATTAATTAATTAAAAATCTTTATGTGAAGGTTGTCAAAGTAAAATCTGTTTCCGAATTTATAAAATTTTTAAGCTTGAAGTCTGGCTTTTCTTTGCCAACACTCTTGTATCAAAAGATAAATAATATTGAATGGATAATTGCAATAGTGATCGTGCTAAACTAATTCAAAAATTATCAGTTATAACCTGAGATGAATTGCCAATAGCTCGAAAAGGTAAT